ACAATTATAAGTGTACTGTCTGGACACGATTCAATAGCGTTGTACCTTATTTCTCTATTACCCAGCTTTTTGTAGACTGAGCTAGAAATATTTCGGTAGACACACCTTTGACGAACCTAGCGAAAATTCTGGGATTGTTATTAATCGCCTTACTAATTTTATGGTAAGATCAAAGCGATTCGTCAATCTGTGAGGTGACTCACTTAGAAAATTTGTGGGTAACACAAACATAAAATTTTTGTACAAGTGATTCGTCGATTTTGGATCAAGCCCTAATAAAGAAGAAATTCGATTTTTATGAGGTCAAAATAGCGACAAGTCGTCTCGAAGAACTTTAGTTCCAGTAAGATATAGTAAGAAGAACATTATGCGAAGCAATCTGTATGACTAAATTAAACCTTCTTTCTCTCTTAGCAAAAGCATATCACGTCATCCTATCTAGCTTACCTACTATATTTGAAACACCCTTTACTTTACTTTTAAATTTATAAATAGACACTTAAAAGGCATATATGTATGTGTATGTGAATCACACAAAGTCGAAGAAACATTTCTCAGTTAAATGGGAATATACTTATATAGGCATGTGTCATTGTATTTTTGTTAGCAAAAAATGGCCAAGTGGCGAGTTTTGGTTTCAGTGAAAGCACGGAGAAAGAAGATTTCAAAGGAAGGAAAAAATATAGTCAACATACAGGTACATATTTATGTATAAAATGGCTTTAAAATGCTTGCACTCATTGCGAGAATGCGTTGCTACATATACATACAAATAAATGGATGTTCATATATACTTGTACATATGTAATTGTATATATTAATGTCGAATTAAGCGACTGCCAATGAAAGCATAATTTTCAGACAGCCTAGTCTGAAGAGGACAAATGCAAAATTAAGTAGACACTTCAAATATTAATTTTTGTCTTACCTAAAACATATATGTAACTGTAGATAATGACCGTATGAAAAGGTGTTCTAGGGGGTTCTTCATGAGTTTGTAATACGAGATCATCTAAAGCAGCCCTGAAAGAATTTAATATTATAATATCAATATAACATTGTTCTCATAATTCAAATCTCCATATTTTGGTTTATCAAAAGGTGTTGCTCGGGAAACACAAACTTATTTAGTTTTCCCGTGATGACATGCTCCAAGTCATCATAGGAAAACTAAAAAAGATGCCTATCTTAAGTGTTTTAATAAGCATTATAATATTCGACGTCTAGCAATAATACCTGTAGCCGACAATTAACATAATTTCAGCAACCTGCGCGGTAGGCAAGAAAGAAGACAGATATAACAAGTAGGGAGGGATAAGTGCGAATGCAACCGAACATTTCGTACTCTTGCAACTAGCAAGGACCAAAGACCATGAAATACGTTGAAATGCAGTTAAAAATAAATATTGAAAAATGGCGTGAAAGACAACATTTATTATTAGACGGTACATTAAGCTACCACTGTGAGCGAAAAATAAGACTTTTTAATATAAATTTCGTCAAAATATTTTTTTTTCTAAGTATATATGACTGTTAGTGACATCTATGGCAAATGTTACAACAAAATAATCATTGGTTTTCAGTATACGTTTGTCTTTTTGAAGCACATAAAGTGCATTCATAGATTTGCACGTTGAGTGAAACTCTTCAAAAAAGAAGCTTCATTACGATTTGTGTGCAGCATCAAATTTCTGGTGCCAAAACGTTCAGAATGTTGGAAAAAGGCCACACAAATGGTTTTGATACTAATTATTCAAGGACGTCGTTAACGTGTTAACGAGGTACTACGTCCAGGACGGCTATTAACATCTACTGATGATTAACACGTCAACAGAATAAAGCATTTGGTGCTTGAGAATCGATGATTAACAGTCAGAGATCATACTGGCATCGTTGAAAAATCTGAAAAATCAGTGAAACCATTTTGAAAGATCATTTGGGCCTAAAAAAAGTGAGAGCACGATTGGTTCCAAAATCATTAAATTTTTCAAACGTCTGTGAAACAATGCTTTCCAACTACCTAGATGTCATGAAACGCATTATTACTGACCATGAATTTTGGACCTATGCTTATGACCCTGAAACATACAATTGATCCGCTGAATATCGTGGCAAAGATGAGCAGAAGCCAAAGAAACCACGTCAAAGCGGGCCACCACTTTAACAACTGTTTCGAATTAAATTTATTAATAATTTTTTAATTATAAACAAAGTTTACTCGTAGTAGGATATTATTGGTCGTATACTCAATTAGTTTTATTAGTTTCCCTTTGTTTTCTAGTCGGTCTATAAATTTATTTATAGGTCATATTTAACTAAATAAATAATAAATAATAATAATAGAACTACATTTTAATCGAAGAAGTTAATTTTAATACATTAAGTTGATGAGCAAAACGTCATGTGAAATTAATGATACTGAGGATATAAAATTAAGACTAGATCAACTTCAATCATGCTCAATGGTACGCCATTAATACAAAATATGTTTGTTAGAATACGGATATTATTATATGTAGTATAATATAAAATCACATATTCTGGGCATTAAACTTAGACATTGACTGACAGATAGGATATAAGACCAACCGGAAGTTTTAAAATATTTTATCGGGTATATGAGAGATAAGAGTAGTTTTAACCAGATTTTATCCATTATTGGCATTACTACCAATTATTAACGGAAACTGATGTTTTTGAGTTTCATTAAGGGAAGCCGCTTTAGAAGCTTCAAAAAATAAATTTTTGTTTTTGCTTAAATCCCTTTAAAAATTATTTAAGAATATGACCCCTGAGTTATAGATGGAAATTCGAAATATTGTCGAAGCTAGAGTGGAAATAGTGGCCGAGCGTCTAGCACGTATATAAGCGCTTGGACAGATTTTGACGCGAGATTTCTCGGTTTTTATACTCTCGCAGTAAAGTTGCTAAAGAGAGTATTACAGTTTTGTTCACATAACGGTTGTTTGTAAGTCCTAAAATTAAAAGAGTCAGATATAGGGTTATATATACCAACGTGATCAGGGTGACGATTAGAATTGAAATCCGAATGTCTGTCCGTCCGTCCGTGCAAGCTGTAACTTGAGTAAAAATTGAGATATCATGATGAAACTTGGTACACGTTTTTCTTGGCTCCATAAGAATATTAAGTTCGAAGATGGGCAAAATCGGCCCACTGCCACGCCCACAAAATGGCGGAAACCGAAAACCTATAAAGTGTCATAACTAAGCCATAAATAAAGATATTAAAATGAAATTCGGCACAAACGATCGCCCCCTACTAACTTTTTTGTATATATCTCGAAAACTACTATAGCTATGTCAACCAAACTGTATTGAGTCGTTTCGGTACATAATATTTTCTTAACACCCTGATGACATGTACGTATGTAATATGGGTTAAATCGGTTCACAACCACGCCTTCTTCCTATATGACGCTATTTTGAATTCCATCTGATTCCTTCTCTGTATAATATATCCATTAGGAACCAATGATGATAGCGCAATAAAACTTTACACAAATACGGTATTTGATGCGGGAGTACATATAAAATGTTCGGTGACATCCGAAATTAGCCCTTCCTTACTTGTTTTCTTTTACGATTTTCTTAATTGGCGGGCAGGATCGAAAAAAAATTAAACGTCGTATGGAATTGTGGCAGAATTTATTATCTTTGGCATTCAATTATCTTCTACTTAAAACTAAAAACAACTATGAAAAGTTAAGTTTGAACATATTTTTAAACCAAATAAACTAAAAATTTTTGATCAAAACCCACCTTTTTTTAATTTAAAAAAAAAATTGTAGAATATTACACTATATTGGAATTTTGTTGGTTTAACTAGGAGATAATTTATTAACAAATATGAATCTCTTTGAATTTTTTGTTTCAGATAGAAATTGCAACTTGCATCTTGCCCGCCGTCTGCCATATGCATTTGTATAAAAGATTTCGAATCCAAAAAATTTAAGGATGATGTTTAAATATATAATTCTAAAGCCTAAAAATTTCGCTTTAATCAATTATTTCTTTCCTTCCCAAAAAATCTTCAAAAATATCGATATTTTGAAGCCTCTATACCCCCTTAAGATGAAACACATAAGTTACCATCAACAATATACAAGTATAAAGAGTAAAATCAATCATGATGTTTGAAAAATTCTACACTAATTATATCGCCCGATATGTTTAGTATAAAGTCAGACGACAGCTCGAAAATTTTTCTATTAGGTGTATAGGGGATAAGGGAAATATTGAACCGATATGTAACAGGCAGCTTCAAGCTTTCGTATCATTTCAATGAGAAATCGTCGCTAAAAACGAATCAATTTTAAATCGAAACATTTCGTAGTAAAAAAACAAGGGGTTAAGTTAACCTCTATATCGAAGCTTTAATAGCCTCCATACGAGTTTTTATAACAATTATATGAATGTATAACCAAAAAATGTTTCAATCAACGATTTGTATCCAACGGAAAACATTTTTCCATACATATAGTGATCTGATATTGACGGTTCTAACGTAGCAGCAGCAGCAGATAAGGACGTTGCAAAATTTCGAATCGATATTTTATTAACTGCAGGAATAGTTCGTGTATATACAGACATACAGAAGGACATACGAAAATCGCCTCAACAGGTCTCGCTGGTCATTTTTATATGACGATATATGAGTATTGGTGAAGTATTTTGAATAAATGTTATGAAAAGTAGGGAAGCTCTGCAACATAATAGTGGATTTAAAAAGTTTTACATATTTAAAAACCCTACACGAGCGAAGTAATTAACAACTCAACGATTTATACGCATTATACTATATATATATATTATTTTATGATTTTTATTTTTATATTTTCAATTCAAATACATGCAATTCACCGTACCATTTCTCTTAAATATACATATTTCGATATGTATATTGACTAAAAATCAAAACGATAATTCCCTTAATGTTATATATTATTTTATTTATTATTTACTTAATGTTATATAATGTCAATTATTTATAACTAGAACATAAATTACAATTTTACTAATACTACTACACCTAAAATTGAACTGTTTGTGGGCGCAAAAGGCTGTGTATATATGTGTGTAGAGGTGGAATTTCACATTGAAATACTTAGAACTAAACACATACATATAATTTTACATATGTATATGTGTATTTCACACACATACATATATACAAAGAAACCACTAACTGTATATATTTTCAACCATTTTATTAAAGAACAAGAATGGCGCAACAAACATATTTACAAGAACATTCGTATTTACAAGTTGGGTATATCACATATGGCCGCTTTTATTTACAACGTGAATACCTCATAAGCTATATTTTCATTCTAAATAAGTTGAGAATGCGCACATATCCCTTTACACGAAACATGCTAAAAAAAATCACGGTAAATCACTGGAGAGCCATGTGGCAAGGTGCTGGAGAGTGCAATGTAGGAGTAATTGTACCGTTAAAGCTGTGGAAATATTTCGAATATTTAAGTTTTTTCAAAGCTTCACGGATTTATAACGCTTATTGCACACTTTTGACTAATTGGTGATCAATTTTGGTAAATAGCGGCCGCTTGTCGCAACCATGAAACCATTTTGTTGAAACCAGCATTTCGGAGGCACGCTTTAGAGTAGACTATTTAGCGCCTCGACGGCACTGCCCAATGTCGTGCGATGCGAAGCGCATTGCTCCGTCAGCTGATCCACAGCCGGGAGGGTAAGTAGCTGGCGGCTCATCTTCATCCACAGCGTCCACCAGAAGTTCATCATCCAGATCGAATTCAGTGGGTGTTGAAGACGGTGCTGTGATCAAGTTCGAGCTAGCTGTTGATGACGCTGTCGCCGTCGCTGTTGCTGTTGCTGTTGCCGACGCTGCCGCAGCGGCCGCCACGAACTGCAGTCAGTCGATGAGTATGCTCTTCGAGGAAGCGGTCAGTGTGCTAGCGGCATGCTGTGTTGTCGTTGTGGCCAAACTGTCCGCATAGTAACGCTGTCAAAATACTTTCGCTATGAAGGGCACCTGATCCATCGCAGAGACGGCAGCAGCTGCCGACAGACGCTGATGATGATGATGCATCGGACTTTGGTTGTGGTTGTGCTGGTGATGATGTTGGCCTTGCTGATGCGCCTGCTGTTGTTGTTGGTGCTGGCGAACCGATAACATTTGTGCGGCACTGGTGGAGGCGCTCGTGGAAGTTGCGCTGGCTAGTTGAATGAATGCGGAGCTGCTGGAGTATTCGGCGGTTGCACGAAAGCTACTGCCGGCCACCTGAGGTAAAAGGTGATGCGGCGCATAGGCGCTGGCAGCCGTTGTTGCATTCACAGCTGCTGACTGGTGTGCGTTGGTTAGCGTTTGGTATTGCGGCGTATGCCAAGCGGGATTGCTGCTGTCACCGCCACCACCGCTGGAGAGTGGCGGTGTAGTGACATTGATCGGCGGCGATAAGCTGCCAGCAGAGGAGTCGGGCGTCAATTGGCTGCCGTGCGGTAAGTGCGCGTGGTAGCCGAGATGCGCTTCGCGACGCGTATATTCACGACGCGTATACTCGCGTCGGCGTTCATAGCTTGGTGGCGAGTCCTCGTCGAGCAGATCGCTACCGCCCAACTCATGCAACTTGCGCATATGCTTCTTCAGGTCGAAGTTACGACAGAAGCCTTTGGCGCACACCTTACACGTGTACGGTTTTTTGTCATTGTGTGTGTGCATGTGAAAGGTGAGATTGTAGATTTGGTGGAAAGCCTTGTTGCAGATATTGCATTTGTACGCCTTTTCGCCGCTATGCGTGAGCTTGTGATTCTTGTAGTTGCCCTTCTGGTGGAAACCTTTGCCGCAATATTCGCATACGAATGGCTTGTAACCGGCGTGAATACGTGTGTGCGTGTTTAGCGTAGAGGAGCGATTGAAGGCTTTGCCACAGGTCTGACACTTGTGCGGCTTCTCGGAGGTGTGTATGATTTTGTGGCGACAAAGCGTTGAAGCCTGACGAAAGCCTTTACCGCAAACCTTGCAAACAAATGGACGCGCGCCTGTGTGCACTGGCATGTGACGCGTAAGATTGTAGTGCGCATTGAAGACCTTGCCGCATTCCAGGCATGAGAATGTCTTCTGCTTGCCCGATGTAGAGCCAGGACTGTCATCCATTGAGTTGGGTGACGGCGAACGTAGATGACGTGAGGCTGGTGAGGAAGCGCGCGATGAGTTGTGCTCATGAATCGACGTGGCGGTTTGCGCGGCGGCCGTGGCAGCTGCAGCGCTCGCGTTATGTTTGCGTTTCATACTATGATATACGCCAGAAGCGCTATCGTGCATTTTATGCTGTTGATGTTGTTGCTGATGTTTTTCCAACGTCTGTTGCAGCTGCGGGTGTGCGCTGGCAAGCGCCTGATGGTGTGCATGATGCGCCTGTGCCTGCGCGGCAGCTGCTGCTGCTGCAGCGGCAGCTAAATGATGGCCAGAAGCGCTGAGATTACGCCGCAGTGATTGTGTGTGGAAATTGTTAAGCGACGCGGTGAAGCTGCTCAAATGCGCGGCAGCACCCGGATTGCCAAGTAAAGTCTGTTGCTGAGCGGCAGTGAGCGCTGCATATTGCGCGGCAGCGGCGGCGCACATCAACTGATTGGGCGCATAATATAGCAGCGGATATTGTGACATTAATTCCTGATGGCGCGTATTAACAAACTGCTGCACAGCGGCAACATTGTTCACAGTGTTGGCGGCGACGGCCGCAGCAGCAGCCGCGGCAGAAGTGGCGGAAGATGGCACATACTTTTTGAAAGCGGAATCATAGTTCTCAGCATTTGCGCATTGCTGGCTGCTAGCGCTTGATAATTGCAATTCGGCGCGCTCTAAGTCACACTCATCGCTGGCAACCTCAATGGGACTGCACGAGCGTTCGGAATCTTCGTGCGCATTTATACTTTCACAGTTGGCGCGTTGATCGGGCTCCATAATTTTCGCAATGGAAAATTTGAGCGGACAAGCGCGTGCATTAGGCAGATTCGTGCTGGTGTTTGTTGCGTTCGTGGTATTGTTGCTGCTGACAGGCGTTGCGGCTCGCTGTTGTTCCGCGCCTTGTTCCTTATCGGCGACGCTGCTGTCACTGAGGTGAGCATTGGCTTGCTGTCCGGCGGCCGTTTCCATGGTGGGACTCTTCGATGGCGGCATCACTGCAATAACGCCCGATGGACTACACGGTTGCATGCCACGCGGACTCTGCAAGTAGAGAAAAAGAAGAGAAGTGGGTTTAGTTTATGTATGCTTGGGCGCAACGGGTTAGCAATTACTAAAGGCATACGTTAATACTAATGCGCGCGTTAGTTGCGCTTAAACAATAAAATCAATTTGGTGGAAAACATTTTAAATTTAATTTTTATTAAACGCAGTTTTTTTAAATTGCATATGCGTTTGTCAGTTTCGCTTTTTTCCCTGATATTTGTGGCATGGCTGGCGGCGCGCCGCTGTGCTGCCGCCGTGACTGTTGCCTCAATATAAGTGCACTCAAGCATGACAAATTAGATGCAAAACAAGCGCGGTAGCTCGCCCAATATATGCCACGCCCCCTATAAAAATTGTGGCTTAAGAATAAAGTGCTGTTGTTTGTGTGTGCTTTTCCTTTCAGTTTGTGCAACGCTTAACCACAGCATCATTTACGTTTGCAATTTTCCCGCCGGCAGGATATCAAAACTACACCGCTAGGGGTCTCTGGGCACCGCGCACGTTTTCAGCGCATTTTCGTAATAAATATTTGAGCAAAATTGCTTGAAACAAACAAAGTCAAGCACATTTGCATACAACAAAGTCAAATAAAAACAACACGAATTCACTTTCGCACTTCGCCGCCCATCAATCGCTGTCGAACCCTTTTAGCGCGATTGCCCGGCTATTGATGTTCGCTATATGTACTAGTATGGTACAATATATAGCTTTACACTGGCGCTGAGCTTTGTGTTAATTGTACGCTTACGCGCTTGTCGCTTGACTGCGTCTTGACAATCAATCCTGGCGATTGATGTGACTCGTTCCGCGCTGCTGCCACAAATCAAACAAAGTTTTAAGTTTAAACAAAACCATATTTGGTTTGTAAAGCTTTTTCATGCGTTTTACATACAATATTGTTGTTGTTACTTGTAGTAAATGATTATATTTACTCTACTCGCTTATTGGCAGCAGACCTCAATGACTCCGGAGCATATGGTCTGAGCGCACAGGGACGCATTATGATTTGCTTGCAAGCGCTTTGGCTTGGTCTAAGTTTTCTAAAAGATATACTATGTATGGGCTAAATTTTCTTATAACGGTACTATTTTATATTAATTTCGCTTAAAATTTTTTTTTACTATTTTTTATATCTTGAAACAATGAAATTTGTGAAGTTTACGGAGACGATGCTGTATTAGTTCGTGTAGCACTACAGTGGCTCGCTGGTTTCCGTTCTCAAAATTTTGAAAAGGCGCACCTCGGTCGACCTATCATTGAAAAAATCGATGAAATTATGGAAAATATTGACCAGGACCGTCACATAAGCAGCCATGACATCGTTAAGGAACTTAAAATTCATCATCAAACGGTTTTGAATCTTTTAAAAAAGGCTGGCTACAATAAGAAGCTCGATGTTTGTTAACCGAACGCATTGTCTGTGTAAAATTTAGTGGACCGAATTAACATCTGAGATTCTTTGCTGAAACGAAATGAAATCGAACCGTTTCGAAAGCGGAAGGTAACCAGAGACGAAAAGTGGATCAAATACGACAATAATGTGGGAAAACGATCATGGCCCATGCGTGGTGAATATCAACAAATGGTCGCAAAGCCAGGATTGACGCCTCGAAAGGTTATGCTGAGTGTTTGGTGGGATTGGAAAGGAATCATCCACTATGAGCTAGTCCAGCCTGGTCGAACGATTGATTCTACATTTTACTGTCAACAACTGATGAGATTGAAGCAAGCAATCGAAAAAAGATGGCCAGAAATGATCAACAGAAAGGGTTTCCTCTTCCATCAGGACAACGCTAGAAAACACACATCATTGATGACTCGGCAAAAACTGGGACTTGGCTTGGCTGGGGAGTTTTGATGCATCCATCTTATAGCTCTGACCTTGCACCGTCGTTTCGGTCTATGCAGATCACCGTTAATGGAGTAAAGTTGGATTCAAGAGAAGCCTGTGAAGATTACTTGTCGCAGCTTTTCGTCGAGAAAAATGAAATAATGTCTCAAGCGGAAAAATGGCAAATTTGGTCAACCAAATGGTATATATTTGGTTCATGGTGAAGTTTGATTAAAAATACGAAATATATACTTTTCAATCCAATACTTTTGCGTTTTTTTCTTTACTCTTTCTCAGGCTTGTGCTGTTTGCCCCAACACACTCGCACCAAATCAATGAAAGCTGCTAACGCATAAGCATTTTCTATGCATATTATTATTATATATTTAATATGTTTATTTCTTTTATGCCTTCAAAAGCCGCACTTTATTTGAAAGCCCCTGCCTCCTGGTTGCAATCTTCACACTTCACTGCAAGTGTTGAAGTTCACTTTCTACTTTTTCCACTTGAGTCGCCAAATTTTGTTGTTGTGCATTGAAAAGTTTGCTGAAGAGCCGCCGCACAGCGCATACAACCAGACTTTGTATGTATGTGTGTATGTACATATATATTTTACATGACCGTCAATTGTAATGTGCAACATCCGTTGCGGCTGCTGTGGCTTACAGTTGACTTAACAAGCTTTACTTCCTACTAGCAATATGCTGGAAGTTTAAGCACATACTAAGTAGGTATATGTACATATATGGTACATACACGTACATACTTGTATGTGTATATGTATTGGTGTGCGTGTGTGCGCCACCATCTTTGCTAGGCTCGTTTTAATTAACTCGATTTCTCACTTGAGTGGGTCAATTTCTTTCAGCAATTCAACGCAAGTTAAGTTAAGCGACGCACACACACACACACACACATATATATATATATATATATATATATATATATACTGTAACTCTTAACGAGTGCATGCGTGTTCTATTGCAGCGCTTAGATGTATTAATATTTATACGCCTTTAACACCATTTTAAATTGATTAATTGTTTAAATTGGCAGGCGCTGAAAATTGGTACTCAAAGTAATTTATGATTTTCATAAATTTCGAAAACTTAACCGTTATGCTGCCGTATATGCGCATACATATGTATAATTGTATGTAAATTGGTTGGCTGTAAATTGCTTGCGTAGAAAATTAAGGCAATTTAGTTGTTGTGCAACTATTTAGGTACTCAGGCATATAAATTCATTTATATACCACATGTTTTTGGAAGTTTTAATAAACAAAAATTTCAAAAATCTAAATATCATTAGAACTGCATTAGGCTTGTATTTCAAAAATCTGATAAGGTTAAAAATTTCACTCACAGGACTTACATGGATAATTAGCCATAATTTGCAATAAATTTAGAAAAAACGTGAAGCTTATAAAAAGACTTGAATTGGAACTGCCTATTCTATATCAACTTAACTCGTTAAACTGATCATTTCCACGTTTTAATGGGACTCTGACGTTTCCTTCTGGTTGTTACAAAAATCGTAGTTAACTTAAGGGGAGCATGGGTTTACGGGTTTCTAAAAATCAATTATTTTTATTTTCTTAAAAAATTCTTCAACACCTCTAGAATATTGTCCTAAGTTTTCAAGTTGATCCTAGTAATAGTTTCGGAGACAAAGCCTTCAGAACTTGTATGCACGAGGTTAACTAGGCTAAGTGACCCGTCTTTAAACGCGTTTTTTTCCAAATTGTGTTTTTGAAGTCGGTGGCAAAAAGAATATTTATTTTCGATTAAAAATATTTCTCTAAAATGTTTATTGTTTTTGTAAAATTTTTCAGCTTTTTCCTTTGTCCAAGTTCAAAGTAAAGGTTTTACGAAGTAATTCTTACGAGGAAACCCATCTAATAAAAAATATTTTTCTTTACAATTGTTTTTTTTTTTAATAAAAAACGATTGCTTAAAACTTTTATAAAGAATTTAAATTATGTTCAAATGCCTTCGGAAAATGTTTATTTGACTAAAATCGAATTATATTGATACTATGGGAAGAAGTTTTGCTTGTTCCGACGGCAGCCAATCAAACTACTATGATGTAACTAAGAACTAAGTAAGAATGATAAAATAGAAACAAATTCTAAAATATCGTAAGTTCAAAAAAGATTAGTTAAAGTTTTGAAGTAGATACTATTAATATCTTATATAAAGCTTGTGTCAATACAGTAGATATATTGCAGCCTAAACAACAAAAAAAATCTGAAATAGCCTTTTTTATACTAGGAGCAAGCTTCGACCTACTCCTGACCTACTCCCATCTCATGTCTCTCCCATGGGACCAATGGACAAAGTATTACTTCATGAGAAATAGACATCGGAATGAATGTACCGAACTTTTCTACAGTGCTTTTGCTCAACATATAATTTTAATAAATATATAATACCAAGTTAGAAATCTGATGAATTTGTTAAGTTTTTAAAAGTTCGAAATGAGTTGTTAAGTTTGCAAGCCATATACCGGAAAAAGTCAAAATTTTACGAAACAGTTGAGAAAACACTACATATTGTTTCAACAGTATGCTTGTTCGTTGCTAGCGTCGGTATACTTTCGCTTTAAGTTAGTGTTATACGTTAAGTTTGTGATAAATTCTGATATTCGGTTTTTTTTGGGTATATTCACTTTAAAATCTGACAACTTGATTATAAATTAACTGGAAATAGTTTCAACAGGGCCCATATAGATAACATATAGACTTTTTGAAACAAAAAAGCCTTAAAGAAAGTCATTTGTTCCAATTTAATATAAATTTGTAGCAACAAAAAGTAAAAAACTCTTGATATTACATGCATATTTTTACCTAAAATGCAAAACAACGTATATCCAGAAAAATCAAAATTGAGCTTATTATTGCTTACGATTCACTACATCTTATTATATATTATACATATATACACGCATACAATTTTAAGCTTCTGCTAACAGATATATCGAATACATAGCCATTTTATAACCAAAACTCAAGTTTTGTTTCAATGTGAGTGGTTTCGATTATAACGTTTTTCCTACGCCTGTGAACTTATGCAAATTGATGTTAGGTTGTTTTGCGTGTTAGGTCACGATATATATTTATATATACATTATTACTAAAGCTAATCAGTTTGATTGCTAGATATTTTGAAATTGTGTCGAAACTGCGAAATAGAAGCTGAAGTTTCTGTAAAGCTAAGCACCACATTACAAGTCAGTATTTCACTTGTCAACAAGTACTTTGCTTGGCTACAATCATTCAAAATTGTTGTTGAAGCCGCGAGGCCTCAAATTCTAACAATTTAGGTTCAAAAAAGTATTAAAAGAAGATTTCGAAAGTTGGTTCGCATACCGAAGGCAATATAAAGACACAGAACAAATTACTGACATATAAGAACGACTACCAAAAATCGAACACAACGAATGGCGTTTCTAAGATTTTTAATTAAATATATTTATTTTTATAAAATTTAAAATTTTTTTAACAATTCTCCAAAATTTTAATCCAAAAAACATTAACATTTTCTAGCATTTCCAAATGTTATTTGAAAGTATGCTTAAATTTTGCGAAAATTTTTTATAAAAAAATAATTAAAGAAAATACGTACAAAATAAACCATATTTAGCGGCTGCCTTGTTGTAGTTGCTGCTTGTTGTTGCCAAACACTTCAAACTTGTTGCAAAATTGTTAAGAAAAAGTTCTTTCTTTTATTATATATTAATTTAAAATTCTTCGAAATTTCAGTTCTTTTTTTTGAATTCAAAGCTTTGCGGCGCTTTATTACTTTTTCGCTATGTAAATGAACTTGTCCACTAAAAACACTTTAAGTTTCTTTTGTAATATTTTTTTTTCACCAAAACACGCAAATAATTTTTCAGTGTTCTCTCTTATGCGCTTTCAAAAAGTGACGAGCAAAACTGCACGAATGACAAAAAGACGTAAAACGATGAACGCGTAAAATGGAACGTCATCACACAGCCGACGACCGTAACGAAATGAAGCGAAACGGGCAAGTGTGTCCTTAGAAAAATGCCACAAGGAGCGTGCGACGACAAGAAGCCAACGCCAAGAGGGTAATAATGTCTATGCGCTGTGGTGGCGCTGCTGGTGGTTGATGGCAATTGGAATACAAAAATAAACAAGACACAAAAACAACAACAACAGCATCAGTATTGTAGTGAGTAAACAACAACAACAACAACAATGGTAGACGCAATAAGAATAACAAGCATCACACAAAAGCACAAGCAATTGGACTGTGAAAGGAGCAAAAATTGACGAAAGAGAGCACAAGGATGCACAGCGCGCTGCTTTAGTGAGTGTATGTGTGTGTGTGTGTAAGGATATGCACAACGGCGTTTGTGTACTCAGGTAAGCATTTTATGTGGGCAGCAGATGAGTTCACTGCCGCTGATAAACTACCCTTAAAAAATTGCTTGCGCTCAACAAAAAACTGTAAGAGTGAAAGAGATGAGAGAGCAAACAGCGAACAGCGAAAAGGACCATGCTTCGCTGGTTATTTGCATGACATTTGTTCTGTATTTAAGGATTAACTGCCTCAATGGCTGCGTAGTTGCGCAGAGGCACACAAATGGGTGGGGAGAGAGGCAGTATGTGACTGCGAGAGAGCAAGTCGAAGTGAGTATACATGAGCGCAAATGCAACGAGATGCCTTAATGATGTTGTTGATTAAGTTAAAACAAAGAACATGCTTATTGAGTTGAAAATTTTGTTGTAATAATGTTGTTCCTAATGAACTGCTGTGTTGCCAGATTGTGTTTGCACTCAAGTTCGTCGCAATATAATGAAGTTCGGACGCTTAAAATGCACACACATTACTAAGTTTCTTAAATTGACCAGAGAGAGAGAGAGGGAGAAAGAGAGTGTTTTTGAGGTGTGAAGACAGCGCGAGTGCGGGGCGTGGAGGGGCACAAACGCTGAGACAACATTGAGGGTGCACAAAATGTCGAATTGGAATGAAGTGTGCATACACTTTGAAATCCCGCCCATAAAATATTTATAAAGTCACAAACACACACACTCACATACAAAGGCGGCGACATAAGCGAATGACGGTAAATTGCGCACTGCACAGCTGTAGCATGTTTGCTCGAGTGCTTAGTTGTTGCGCTTGTTGTTGTTATGGCTGCTATTTTTTGTGTGTTGACTAAAAAGACAGCAGAACTCGGCGGCAACCGAGCATATTGCTTCCCATTTATTAAACATAAACTCCTACACGGCACGTACATATGTACATATATATTATAAGCCACAATCAACAGCAGCTACACGGATACAGTAGATGTAGGTAACCCTGTCAAGTTGTGTGGGCCCAAACCCTTGCATAAATATATATGGGAAAAATATGGCAGCTGCTTGGCAGTTCACCCTTTGCCCAACACTTGATTAGGCGCAGCGGAGTTGATTTTTAGGCAGCTGCCGAGCAGCAAGCGTCTCCTACACAACTCTTTTGCTCCTACCATCATACCTTATATGTATATTTATGTATGTATGTATGTATGAGGGCACGCTCGCCTTTTGCGCTGTAACCACCTACCATTGCATGTATGCGGAGACACTTTCATTAGTGCTATAGTAAATAATAAATAGTATATACCTCTACAACAACATATACACACACACCAGCGCTCTTAGCTTAGCTCTCATTTCATTGCTCGTCCTTTTTGCTTGCCATTGTGCGCCAAGTGGCTATGGCTGTAGACGACGGCGCGCTGTTTTAGCATTCCCTGTGTATAGTATATGGTAGCTGCCCACTTGATTGCGCTTCTCAGCTTTTGCCGTCGTGGCTAGCTTGGCTGTTGAAATGGCGTCACCTTAGGCTACTTTCGTTTTTTTTTTTTTTTATTATTTAAAACTTTTTTTTTATTTTCTCTCCTTTGCTGACGACGCCATAGCTGCCTTTTTTAACAGCAGCCAGAGTTCGCTGTTGAGTCGCCGCTAAGCTTGCGCTTGAATGTGACTTGCTCCGTTAGGAGGTTAACTCGGGCGTCAGATATTGTAGAAAAATGATTTTTGACACAAGTTTTTGATTCTTCTTTTTTAACGTTTCTTTTTTTGTCTTTTTACAAAAGGACTCTTTAGGAGTTTTCAAGCAAGAAACAATAAACAAACATTTTTACTTCCATAAAACGGAATATTAATGGGATATTTGGAGAAGTTATGGCAGAAGCTGTTATTACGATCGGCGTAGCAAATGCCTCAGACATCGCGGCATAAAGGCAGCTTATTTTCGTGCTGTTAGAAACGATGGACGGAGGATGCAGGCATGTGTAGTAGTCCACGCAAGTGAGGAAACTTCTTTGAGCTCCCTTCACTTTCGAGTGGGCAGGAACGATTATTTTACGTTACGGCTCAAGCAGCTCAAGACTTCCGGTCTTAGACCAAGTATCCTCTGGGTAGCCAAAGAACATCCATTTGAAGGGTTTGGTCTTAATTCAAGTAGCCAGGAAGAGTGTTCGATGTACTCAAATCACCGTCGGGTTAATTTTTGCTCAAAATTTATTAGCCTCACTCCGAAAGATACCAAAATTTAGTTGAATTTTAATCTAGATGGGGTTACCGTTAGTTAAAAATAGTTCAATTTTGTTAGGCACCAACCGATTTCACGAAACTGATAAAATGATACGTAGCGATGAACAGGGGAAAAAATTAAGCGAAATTGTTCGATCAATTTGTGTTCCCTCTGAACAATTTGTTTGGCAATTGTAGCGTTGGCTTGGACGTAACAAGGGGTTAATATCGACCGATCAGTTTGCATGTCAGCTATATCCTATAGTGGTCAGATATATGTACGAAGTAATGACAATATTCTGTTCTTTAGGCAAGTGTTCCAGAAGACCGCAATTTGTCAATTCCAAGGCGTTCTCAAGAGTTGGTACAGTCTCAAGCCACAACCTGGTGGAGTTTGAGAAAAGATTTGGGCACCGTTAACGTCGTAAATTTGCCGATTTTGCCTTAGAACAACTAGAAAACGATAATGATTTTTTTTAAGAAAAGCATTTTCTTCAATGAAGCTCATATTCATCTGTGTAGTGCGGTAAATAAATAAAACTGTCGATTCTGGTGCAAAGAAGCTCCACAAATTATTCAAGAACAATCATTACATTCACCTAAATTGCCAGTTTGGTGTGGTTTTTGGTCTGGTGGAACTATCAGATCCGTACTTGTTTCGAAATGAAGCTGGTAATGCCGTTACTGCCAATGGAAGGCGGTATAGTTTGGAGATTATTTCAAGAAATTGTGACATTGAATGGCCCCAATAAGTTGTGGTTTAACACCCTTAGACTACTTCTTGTGTGGTTATTTGATGTCATTGATCTTTAACAATAAACCAGACTCTTTTTAAGCCTTAGAAATCAATATTGAACGAGCTATTCATGACATACGTCTTCATTTAGTGAAAAAAGTATTCGACGATTGAGTTCATCAAATTCGTTCTGCAAAAAAAAGTTGTCGAGGAAATTTGATTGATTAGAAATCTGATTGGAAAACCATGTAATGGAAGCCCTTAACTTAATTTTAGGGTACAAAAAAATTCCAATATCAGAAATCTTAGCACATAAAATGATAGAGGTAGTTTTCAAAAAAAGGGCACAATTTATTTCTCGCTATATTTTTTAATTTTTATTTACTTTTTCAAAAATACAAAAGTGCGAATAAGACGGTTTGCTGTGATTTAGAGCAGGCGGCGCTACATTTTTGCTAAGGAAAGTACCTGATTCACGAGGACTCGATGTCTGATTTTATTTTCAGTTAACTGAAAAAATGTATCAGCATTACATCGGCAATGAGTGCACTTTCTAATTGTTAAAAAACCATATTATTAAGATGAAATACCTGCGATCTACTGAGTTTCACATTGGGAAGATTTGCATATCGTTCCCTAATTGTAACAGATCATCCAATCATGAGTGGCGTTAACTTAATTTACATTGATATTTGCTATTCAAATGTGTTATTTAAGCAAATTGTTTATTTAGTAGCATTGTGCCATTACTAAGCTTCAATTTACAAATAAAATTATGTGTAAACACATATAACTATTTATATATACAAGTATTTATGCATACATATATTTACAAAAAATTACATTGAGTTGTCACTTTGCCTTGTCACTTTTAATGTAGACATAACCTTTAGAACAACTGACAGTCGTGAAACTGAAATGACTGTTCTAGTGACTGTCAAACGGTTTGTTTTCGATTTAAAAATTATCGAAAATTTATATAGTAGATCAATTTTCTTCCTTGGATATGTATCTCTTATTTTTCTAATGTAAAAGTAATTCTGACAACAAAAAGTGTTTTGATCAAAGTTACCAAGACTCTATGAAGTCGAAGCAATTATTAAAAATTCCTAAAATCCGGAACAGTATGTAGTGAACTTCAATTCGCTTGGTTGATGCCGATGTTCTTTGGATCTGGTTACTCAAATACTTTTCCCTGTTCTCAGAACTCGAAAGAATGCTTGTTAGAATTAAATCGCCTTGGCCTATTTTACGCATTAATTTTTTTAAATACTATTTCAAGAGTACACAAAATAAGGTTACGGTGAACTAGGTTAAGTAATGGGCCAATACCATATCTTATGAGGCCACGAATAATCCCACTTGGACAGCTAGAGACACCAGTCCGTGGTTATGCCCCTAACCCCTAGGTAAGAATAAAAAAAATCGCATATCGACAAAACGCCCAGAGCCTGCCACAAATTTATTGAGGAGGTTCCAAAAGCTTCAAACCTACTGTGGCGAAGGTTGGAAGTATCTAGAAATTACCACTTCATCTTTCTCACTGAAACTTTGACAAGTTGCGTCCTTCAGAATATTTAAACTCTCTAGGAGTGTCCAGTTAGGAAAATAGTGCCTTTTTTGCAAACTCATCGGCTTTGCAATTGCCGCTGATTCCGCTGTGGCCAGGCATTCAGATAGGTGTAATATAGAAGTAGTTTGATGA